CAGTAAATATACTGCAGTGATGCAGTATCTAAGCTATGAAATACCCAAACTGGCAATATCCTATGTCTCCCGTCCATCTAGGAAGCCAAATGCTTTCTCAGCTGATTTGTTCATTAGTGACTCATTAAGAATCTTCGAGGTGTGAAAAATAGTGCCTTACCACAAATCAGGAAGCTTGAATATCAATAAGCCTTGAATTGTAGTTTTGATTAGCTAACACTCTTTGCCAGAAAAAAAAAGTTGTAGAACTTTCAAATGCTCATAGCTATTAGAGTTGTCTCTTTGAAAAAGATATTTGATAAATGTCAGCAAGTTGCTAGGGAAGAGTAGGGGATCCAAGAGGCTCTTGGTTGATTTAACTCAGGGGTCTTCAAACTTGGCCCTTTTATGACTTGTGGACTTCAACTCCCAGAATTCCTCAGCCAGCATGTCTGGCTGAGGAATTCTGGGAGTTGAAGTCCACAAGTCATAAAAGGGCCAAGTTTGAAGACCCCTGAATTAACTAGCTAATCAGGTATATTAATGGGAGAGGAACCACTTAAGGAACAGTGCTCAAATATTTATGCACACAGGTCTTATATAATCTTATGTAGAATAAAAATGCACATTTCTCTTAGACTTGAAAATAAAATTAAAATGTGAGAAATGTGAATTCCAAGTAAACTCAGCATTTATTAGGTATGTAAAATACTTGGAATTTACATTTCTTATGACATTTTTATTTTGTTTCTAAGTCTAAGAGATGTGTATTTTAAGAGAGAAGTGAATTTCAATTCAATTCTTAAAATTCACAAGAATGAATAATTTCAGAGCTGTTTGACTGTAGGCACTCAATATTAAAGACAAAATAAATTGTTTTAACACTTGATACAGAAAATACAAACACTTTTTTTGTCTTTCTTATTAACAATTATTAAGATTGGGGTATTGTGTGGCAGATGCTTCTCTACTTGAATTCTAACGTCCCAAAGCACTTTAGCATCTTGATTTTCTATTACTTTATTACTTTACCTATTTTGTGGTCCTACCAGTCCTTGCTTGCAGCATTTCTTGCAGGTATTCCAATGCTTCATTCTTGCTATTTTATAATGTCATTGTTTGTATTGAGTCTGCCATACGTTCTTGCAACAGCTAACTAGGTGGTCTACTGTTTCTTCAGGTTTGCTGATGGCATTTGCTGTCCGTTGCCATCTTCTAACTCTGGCCTTGAATGCATTTGTTCTTAAGGCTTGGTCTTGTGTAGCCAGAGTTAGCCCATCTGTCATTTTAATATTACCCAGAGCAGAATTCTGCTTTTATTCTTCATGATATTGTTTTAGTATTAGATTGCACCTGGGTTTTTACATGGTTTGATCCTTTTCCTAATCTTGAATAGTATCATTAACTTCCTTCCCTTCCCACAAAGGAATTATTTTACACAAAAGTATTGGCAGTGGCAGTCCCAAACTGGAGCTTTGACTCACAAACACACAATTACTCATTCTTCCATAGGCTTCAGGTATGCCCAAAATACCCTCTGGGGGATAATTGTCCCCAGTTCATGAGCCACTGGCTTACAAGAAAAGAGTTGAAAGATTGGTGATAAAATTGAATCCACTGATTTGACTAGCTGTCCCTTTCTTATCAGGTTAGAAGAGGATACATGAGAAATAGAGAGTGGGTTCCCTATAAATAGCATTTGGCCGAGTTTGCAGTATCTTCCATAAACCATTCCAAATCAGACATTGACCATCTACCCTGCCAAAAAGCAGCATGTGCTCACTAAAAGGAACAAACACTGATAGCAGTAAATCTGAATGTGTTGTCACATGAACGTAGCCATCTCTTGTATATTTAGTGGTGATCGACACAATCATACGAACGAGTTACTTTAAGTATCCCACAGTTTTCAAATGGTTTAAAGTCAGTGTACTTCAAAAGCACAGAATCAGTGAGATTCATTTCAGACAGAAAGGGAAAATAACAGTGCCTCTTTCAATAAGCAAAGTCCCAGCAGAAAATACTGTTAATCTGCTGCTTGAAGGTGCGATTAAATGTAATGAACCTAAGATATATAAACGTAATGGACCTAAGACAGTGGAATTTCAGGAAAATTGTCTTGAATATCACAGCAGTCCAGCAGTAGAAATAATTATCGAATGATTAGGACAGGGGTAGGCAACCTTGGCTCTTTTATGACTTGTGGACTTCAACTCCCAGAATTCCTGAGCCAGCTATGAAGTCCACGAGTCATAAAAGAGCCAAGGTTGCCTACCCCTGGATTAGGGTAAGCTTTGGTAGAGGTTTTCAGGAACAAGTCAGTTGATGTTTTGACCTTGGACGTCTTGAATTAAATAATGGGAATCTCATTTTTTTTCAGTTCTATCAATTCCTTTTAAGGTTGATAGCAACTAGACAGCTTATATGCTTAATTAAAATATGGGCCACCAAAATATTAACAAATAACAAGGAGCATTGGATTAAGGCATACAAATCATTTGCACAATTATGACCATCGTTTTCCTGTATTTTCCTATTGTTGACATCTCTTGGTTAGTTAGATAATTTGAGGCTGAATAAATTGGTGGTATGAATTTAGGTTCACCTTCCTTATGAAAAATCAGCAATAAGCCCTGAATAGCATTGAGAAACTGGATGTGGAAAAGGATTTTCTCACCTTAACAGAATTCAAATGGTGCTAGACTTGGAGGTTTGTGGACACGTAACGATTCTAGGCTGAGGCCTCCCTTGACTTCACTCCCATGCTCTATCTGCTCTTCTCCTACAGCTTGGCTGTTTTATGTATTTGTGCACTAAAATGGAATGGTAGAAAGCTAGCTCAGTTTTTTCTTATATAAAAGAAAGTATTCAGGCATGTGATGCAAACTGATTTAAATCAGCTTGGCAACACATCTTTTCTGATTATGGTTTGATTTTTATTTGGAGTCTGGACCAAGTATAAAAACACCCTTTTTGGGTGAGTTAATGGATTTGTTAATGCCAAAATATGAACCATTTAGATATTTTATTAGCATGCATTTGGATGTACTAATGTAAGTAAATTAAAAATATTTAAGTGTGACTAGACCAGGGGTAGGCAACCTCGGCTCTTTTATGACTCATGGACTTCAACTCCCAGAATTCCTGAGTCAACTATGCTGACTCAGGAATTCTGGGAGTTGAAGTCCATGAGTCATAAAAGAGCCGAGGTTGCCTATCCCTGGACTAGACATATGTGACATTTCTGTGGCCCGTATTCTATGTAATTCAGGTTAGTTTGCTGTCTGGAGTTTTCCAGTGGCATCATGAATTGGAGCCCAGAAATGCAGAAAGAAGAACTTTAAGAAAAAAATAAACCTATTTTATAATCATGGAGAAAGTACAAGTACATTGACAAAATTAAAGACTTGGAATCCAACATGAATCATTATTACATGAATGGTAGCTAAAACAACAGATATAATTGTTGATACAATTGAACATCTTTTTTTCAAAACAAAGATAAAAGAGTTTTATTTGAATAGGATATAGTGATTACATTCTCACCAGTAACTCCAGTGTCTCATTATGGCACTATAATGTTTTTAAGTAAACAAAAAACACATGAACCGTGCTTGAAATTAGATAGGATAGTAGCCCATGCATGATATAGTAGGAAATAATCCCACATTGGCAGTCTGCATGGAAAGGATAATCTGTTTTTTTCAAGTTTTCCTTTCATTTAAAGTTTTTGTATTGTGATGCCATTCATTTATTTGCTGCTTGGACTTGCACTATTTCATTACTTACCCGAAGAGCCTGTAATATTGTCTGCAGATGTGAATAGTTTGATTAGAATCTTTCGTGTTAATATCCATGCTGCATAGAAGGCTGCTTTCTAACTTTTATAATATATTATTATGTTATATTGGTGATCATTAACTTTTTTTTTCTTTTTTGTGTTAGAAGGCTTTATTCAAATCCTAAAATTAATTCAGTTTTCCCAGTGTACTGTTTGATTGCAGGTGCATATAAGTTCCTGTAAATAAATAATATATATACTTTTTGTGCTGTCTGAAATTGCAAGTTCTAAGTAGTGGGAAAATACCATTTTTTTTCTCACTCTGTCTGGTTTGAATGAAAAGAATTAAAATAACTTTGTATTTTTTTGTATTGTACAAATATACGAACATGAGAAGATCAACTCAAGATCAAAGGAAACAAGTATTTGAAATTGGACATTTAATTTAGATTTATTGTTGAAGAGATTTAGTTTTATACTTAGGATTTTGATATCAACTAAATGAACTGTTAAATGAAATAACAATTTTATCTGGCTTATATCCTAAGATAAGTAAACTTAAAGGAATTTACAAAGGAATGCTTGCATTCCCTCAGCTATTCTTGTTCTATCTATAAATCTTCTCTTGAAAGTTACCTTTTGGAAGAAATATTGTATCCGTAAATACCCTTAATAGAGGAGAAGATACATGTCCAAAATCAGACTTGAGGTTTTATAATTAGTTGGCTGAAGAAAATAAGGATGTTTCTGTACTTTTTCTTTCCCCAATACTCCAATCGGATCCTCCTCAAACGTTGGTTCAGTTCAAGGACCTCCATGGAGAAAGCATTACAAGATACAGTAATTATCTTCTGTGAGTTAATTCACATCTTAATGGCCAATTTCTACATGCAAGCTGAAAACATTTGGACTCCTTGGATCCTTTCTTAAACAACTAAGTTTGAATTGTCTAATTGGAATTTTTCCTGAACCCACTGTAAAATAATCAATAACCTTAGCTAGAACTGAATAGATTAGGTTTTGATTTAATACAACATTGGATCCTGGTTGACTTCATTTACTATTCACCCCAACCTAAGAGGATCTTATGCCTTTTCTATAGAGTAGATTCGCTATAAGAATACAGTATTCTTATCAAAGTTTATTTCACTTTGAAATGCTTGTAATTCTTCTAGTTGGCTCTAATGACTCCATTCTCAGAATGAAAATAAATAATACTCACATTACTATGATTTTGCAGTTGAGCGATGGAGGCAAAGCAGCCAATGCAAACGTCGGAATAGGTGATGTGGTCCTTAGCATTGATGGGATAAGTGCGGAAGGTATGACTCATCTGGAAGCACAAAACAGAATAAAGACCTGCTCGGGTAATCTGCTTATGAATCTGCAAAGGTAATTATCATGATTGTTGGTATTACCATGACTATTATTGAATAACATTACCTTAGAAGAAAAAAGCATGCATTCTTCTTTCCCGGAATGCCTATGCTTTTTTTCTAACCTTGATTGTATCCTTCATTTGTAATAATGACAGCTTTGTATGGCACCATCAATTTATTATTTAAAAAACAGTCGGACAGTTGTATGGTGTAAAATTGCAAGCACCTATGTTATACCACTTGCATCTATTTCCCAATCCTTCTATGGAGAACTAAAATGTCATCTAACCTAGCTTTATTCATAACAACTCTTTAAAACTTATTTTTTAAATCATATATTCATTGCTCCCTTTTTAACTTACTATGAAAAATATATTTTTTAACATATTGCAAAAAAATAAGATTGGTAAACACAGACTCCTTTGAAATAGTCTGCTTCCAAGTCTACCGGTATGTGTGACAGCTATGAGAAAGCCTTCAATTGTACTCTACTAGTTTCCTTCAAAATTCCTTTCTGTATTTTTAGCCAATGATTTGGTTCTGTCTCTTAAGGAGTAGTGGTAGAATGCATTCCTTAAATACAGAATTTAAATTAATACTCTAAATGGAAGATCAATGCTTAATACTGTATGGGATCTCATCCTTAGGACTTGAATAATAGTATGAATAGATGCAATGAAGTGAATTATACATCCCAATGACACTACAAACTATATCATTGGGAGTGCTTATTCCCAGAAGTTTTCTTCCCACCCCATTGATCATAAAGGATTACACAAAATAAAGTGCACTCAAGAAGGAAATACATCCATTGCAATATTTTTCCAAGAAAATCAAATGGACATTCATAATGAAGAAATGTCAACCTGACACTAGGTAAAGTGTCCCCCATTCATAAAGTATCCATCAAGTTGCTGGGGAGAACAGTATATGTCACTCTTAGGCTGTGACTTGATTAAAGTTGAAAGAATGTTCATCTTCTGATATGTCAAGAAGCAGAAATAAAGTTTGATGATGTTGCAAAGATACACGTATTACTAGTATGTGAAACTAGTATGTAGTACTAGAGCTAGTACTAGGTGGAACCATGACCCAGGACAAACCTGATGTTGCCAGAGCAGAAATGTCAAGACAGAGACATTCTGGGAATCAGTGAATTGAAATAAATTTCAAATCCACTGCAGACAAGAAAAATATAGGAAAAATGAGGTAATTATCATTATATATACAAGTGATAGAGTCAGTGCTCAGATATGTTAGAATGATTAAAAAGAACGATAGCATGATCTCAAAAAATTTAGAATGATCTCAAATTTGATTCCAAGGCAAGCCAATCAGGTATCTTGCTGATTCAAGTCTTGTGTTGCACCTCCAGATGTGAGGAAGTGGAAGTTGAACTGTTCTATAGCAACTTGTCAACACCACACCTAAAAAAACCACAGCATGTTCATTATATGAGACTGGATGCTAAAGTTGGAACTAAAGTAGCATCTGAAATAATGGAAACATTACGTTTCTATGTATAAATGAAGCAGGAGACAGGCTAATAGTTGTGCCAAGAAAATTTAATATTTATAGCAAATACTTTTTCCCCAACAACCTAAAGCTTGAATTGATGCACCACATCAACAGATGGATGACACCAAAATAAAATTCATTATGTACCCTGCAAGAAAAATGGAAGAGTTTTATTAAGTCAGCAAAAACAAGATTTAGTACTGCCTGTGGTTCAAATCACACCACTAGATCTTATTTTTTTTGCTCCTTGAAAAGTTATTTTTAAGTTGTAATTTTGCAAGGAGTTTGTGATCTCAGGCTTCTTGAAAAATTACAACTTGAAGAAAATCATCAAACCAACATGATACGATGATTTCCCTATGAAAATGTGTTGAAAGTAATAAATTTATAGGCTGAGATTTTAAAGTGAAGCAAACCAAAATTCCAGACATGCAAAAAGGAAAAGAAGCGAAATGGCTGTTTGCTGATAGGTTAAAAGTATTCTGCCTCTTTCAAAATGGAAAGAAAAAGGTGACAAGGGATGTGTGTCAAAACAAATTCATATTCAATACATTTTATAAAATGCTGAGTTTCGGAGAGAAACAGGAAAGCACAAGGTAAATGAGCAATAAAAATATGAAGGATCAGAGGTTTGTTAAAGAAAATTACAGAAATCAAGGAGATATCTTATGGAAAGATGGGAACAGTAAAAGAAATATTTAGGAACAACATAGAAAGAAGAGATGGTATGAATATATGAAAGAACTGTAGAAAAAAATGACAGATATAAATGATTACTGATTTAGGGCGGGTCATTTTAGAAAGTGAAATTAAATGGACCCTAGAAAGTGATGCTAACAATTGCTGTGATTTTATTAAATACTGATCATATTGTTTAAAGTCTTTCAAAATGGTGCAATTACAGTGCGTCATCTGATTTGTATGGTGTTCAAACTAGAACAATGGTCTAGGGATTGGAAAAGAACAATTTAAATCTCAATACCAAGTATGGTCTCTGCTAAAACTATAAAACAATTGTACCTAATCTGGATGTTGTAGGACAGGGCTCAAGAGTGTACAGTGCAGACAACACATGGATGAAAACTGTCAAATGCTATATTCAGAAAAATACAGAGAAGGGAAATCCAAATAGAAATGTGTTCATTATTTACTGATTATACAAACACTTACATAGACCACAACAGATTGGATAGCCCTTAAAAACCTGGTTTACCAGATCACTTTGTTTGCCTATTGAACAATCTGCATGATGACCAGGAAACATCAACTGGAATAAAGAACAACTAAATTGTTCAAAATAGGGAAACACTGTATACTGTCCCCTTGTTCAATTAACATACAAGCAGACTATATGATGAGAAATGTTTGAGTAGAAGAAACAACAATTGGAATTAAATTGTCGGGAGAACAACTTCAGGTAGGCTGGATACTACTGACACTGGAAGTGAAGGAAGCCTAAGGAATCTCTGGTTGAAGATAAATCAAGAGAGTACAAAAACTGGTCTGATGTTCAATATTTAAAAAAACTAAGATTCATCAGATAAATAATAGGATCGTTTGATCAAAAGTAATAATTTATCTCTTGAATCTATAGCCAGAGATTGTGTTGATCTGAAGCATGACTAAAACAGAGATTCCATATGGCAGTTCTTTGTATGAATCAATTATACAATCAGTTACATATCAATTATTTAACTAGTCAACTACAATTCAGGCTGTCAAATATATACCTCACCAGAAGTATCTTCTGAAGCTAATAGATTATCTTTTGAAGTTAGTATTTTCAAGAAGTATCCTATGAAATTAGCACCTTAGAGATTTTTTTCTCTAGCATCAGGTTCTTGATTCCTGAAAAACCCATTATCGCAACAAATAATCTCTATGGAGGAGTTTTAAACACATTCTTTCTGCTTTATTTCAATCATTGTAAGAATCCATTCAGCCTTCAATAATGAAGGATTTGCCAACCCCAAAATAAATGAATTCAACTCCATTCATTACATGTGATGCCCACTGAGATTTGCAGGAGGAATTGAATTTCTGCTGAAAGCTAACTTCTGGATATCTAAAAAGTGCCGTGGAATAATGTTGACTAATATAGGGACAGAAATAGCAGAAACTAGTTTTTAGTTTTTATTCAATGACCAGTTTACAAACCCTTGGAGGTTTTTGTTACACTAACTTGATAGAAAATGAGTCAGTGTTTCAGCCCCCGTGCAGGATGTGACTCACTAGTGACTGCCATCTTGCCGCTGGAGCAAAGATTGTACAGGATTAGACTGGTAAAGATCAAATGAAGAGTCCTTGGAACCAGACATGGCATTTTAGCTTTGTTTAAGAGGGAATGTTGTCTTATGGTCTTGTGCCAGTTTCCAGTCCTACATTTTCCATCTGTTTTTAATCCTTTTTGCATCTGAGAAACATTTGACAATGTATTTTTCTAGCTGTGCCTATGCAATGGTTTTCTGCCATCACAGATAGATAGTAAATGCTTACTAGAATATGCTGGACTAAGAGGCGGCATTAAATATTATTGACTGTTCATAGACTATAATTTATTTCATCAGATGCAAATATATTTTTATAGTGCAGTATGGTTTTTTTATCAATTATTTTTTGGAGTGTTCACTAAAATTATTCTACATGTAAGCCTTGTTTGTTGCCATATTTCATTTTTCATTGACCCTGATTGCATTTTTATACATTTATTATAATTATTTATTAAATTTATATGCCAACATAAAGGTTGTACGCCTATTGAGAATTATACCACAAAAGCCTAACTTTTGAACAATATTAAATATAGAGATGTATGTCACTTTATTCTACAGTATTTTATTCCAACCTATTCCTATCTTACATTTTAGCTTCATGCTTTAGTTTTAAACAAATAATATTCTGGGAGGGAGGGTTGTCCTAGGGATATAGTTTATAGTGGTAACGACAGTGACAATAATATTCTGTATTCTTTTAGCCTATGTTTAATGTTTTGTCTTTTTTTTACTTTCCAAAATGTGTTAGTTGTTTTCCCTCTGTACTACTCTTTCACTGTAATAAAATTGACTGACCATAAGCTTTTACCATATCTCAAGGTTTTTGCTGAAATAAGCTATATTATTTCATAGTAAGACTCATTTACTAATTTGCAATTTGTGCTTGCATTAATTTTTTTAAATGCAATGCCCGTAATTAAAAATACATAGGATATACAATTATACCATCAAATTATTTACATTTCATTTATTATTTCTGTTTAATCCAAGATGTGCATTCCTAATTTGTAGCATAGCTGCTCTGTTAGAATTGAGCCAGATTTACAAGAAAAGTATAAAGCACATCGTGGGATATTAGACTGATGAACAAACTTTTAACTTTTGTCCTTATACTTTCTTTTGGTTAATTGAAAGATGGGTGGCTATTTTAAATAAATAAAATAGGTCTAAGTGATTTTATATGTTTTTTTTTAATTTTTGATTGGGAGCCGCCCAGAGTTGG